GACGAGATCCAGAAGTATCTCTGATGATGAAGTAAAAGAAAGATTGGAAGGTGAAGGAGAAGGTTACAAATCCGAAGAAGAAGAAGACAATACAGGAAAGGAAGAAGAGAACCCGGAAGATTAATAATCTAGAGAACAAAAAGACGAGGAATAAGTAAATTTGAAAGATATAGAAGAGGAATAAAAAAAATCCAAAATAGATGAAGAAGAAGTTGGAAAACACGATATGACGAAGAAAAAAAAGAAATAACCAGAAAAGTAATAAGAAGACAGATGAGACGAAGATGTAGAAGTAGAAAAAGGTGAAGTAGAAGTATAAGAAAATTGGATAGAACACGAATTGGAAGAAGGATAAGACAGGGAAAAATAAACACGGATGAAGAAAAAATACTAAGAAGGCCCAAAGATGAAAAATAAAAAGTTGAAGAAGGTGAAAATGAAGAATGAGACAAAGAAAAACCATAAAGAAGTCATAGAATATGAAGAAGACAACAATAATGAAGAAGAGAACTAAGAAGAAGAAATATAAACCAGAAAGAAAAAGAAGAAGAAGAGGTCGGAGAAGACGTAAATGTGAAGAAGTTAAATTCTATGAAAAAAATGAAAAAAAAAAAGAAGCAGAAGAATAAAACGGGGAAAAAGATGAAAAAAAATAAAAATAAAAATAAAAAGAGAAATAAAGATAGAGAAGGCAAAAATCATGAGAAAAACAAGTGAAAGACGATAGAGAAAAGAAAAAAAAAAGTGAGAAAGAACATAATTTAACGATTTTTTATTATTAAATATTTTTAATTGGGGCTAACATGTATTGAATAATAGTTTTTATATATAATTCAAAACTATGTTGTAGTCTATATAATATATTTTTAATGCATATTGTTTTCAAATTTAGATCTACAATTTTAGTAAGTGATTTCGTACTTGCTTAGGAGAAATATAAGAACCGAGAAGAAAATTAAATAATTCTGGCAAAACGGGAAGAGACTTCCGACGGTGAAGAGAGATAGTCGTTTGTAATTACAATGTTTGAGAGAACAAAACATTATTTATTAAATTATCGAGCAATATGAATCTCATTTGTCGATGATATGACCACATATGAGAAACACTGCGTACAATCATATGTAGATGAAGATACGGATTGAGTGTATGTAAAAAACTTTCATATAAGCAATAAAATTTGTTATTGCTGATGAACATGAAGCATTTTTGGTGTCTTATTAATAATGTTGGCAGAAACAGTTAATTTCAAAACAATAAGTATAGTTTGAGAGAAATGAGTAATCCAAACTCTATATACTTTTTATGTTATCGTATAATATATTTGATTTTTAGCGCGAATGAATTAAATGACTTCAGAATCCAAATGAAATTTGATGAGAAAAATAATTTTAAAAACTTATTGGTCTATTTGGATTATAGCTACTGAAATATCTAATTTAAAAAATATATAAAGAAGAAATCGGAGAAAAAAACTAATACATAGTAGATGAAGTGGAAGATAATGATATTTCTGATCAGGATTTTCTTCTTGATGTGCCGCCTAATGGATTATTCGTTCCATTATTAAATATAAATTTTTTTAGCTTTGAAGATAATGATATTTCTGATTAAGATTATCTTCTCGATGTTTCGCTCAATGGATCATTCCCTCAAATTTTGTAATTAGTTTTGTATACATCGCATATCCGCGCTAGACGCGAATCCCCACCTAGGAACAAGTATTAACTGTGTGCATTAGATATGCACATGGTTTCCGTCTTGGTTGATAGAATATTAAATATCAGGAATTTCTATTATTTAGATAGTCTGTTGATATTTTTTGTATATCTCTAATTTTGGGTAACCTCTTTGGCTTTATATCTATTCTCGTAAAATACAAGCATGTTTTGTGTTCCAACAGATTTTTTTTAAGTTTTCTACTATTTTGTCTTTGGATAATTGTCATTTTTGTTGGCAAAAAAAATAGTTTGATTAATTTTTTTTTATTTTTTTTGAAAATTAATAAAATAATATATTTAAATTTATCTTTAAAATTAATTTTGAAAAAATTAAATTTGAATTTGATTAGTTTAGGTTTTTTATATAGGTGGGATTAATTATAAAAATTAGTTGTTAGTATCTTTATAAAAATAGTAAATAAGATATTAATTTATTTTCTATGATATTCAAATTTAAATAATATTTTCATAATAACAAAAATGATAAAATATATATTTTATTTAGTTTTTCATAATCAATCTTTTTAAAATTTTTAAATATTTAAAATTAAAAGAAATTTATATTATATGGTAATATAATCGAATGAGGTAAAATTATGTTTTTATATTTATAGTTTTTCAGATTAATCGAATGGATCGGTTAAAAATATGTTTTAATAATAAAGTTAAAAACTAAATTTTATCTAAACACAAAAATAAATTTATATCATTTATTAAAAAATATTGTATGTGTAAAAAACACAAATTACATTATAAAATGAGATTAAAAAAAACAATTCATCTGAAAAGTACCACTAATAAAAAACATCATTATAACTTGCTCATTTAGAATTAAATTTCATTTTAATAGAGAGAAAATGGCGACGGAGAAACTCGAAAGATAACATGATCTTCGATGGAATAAGATTTCTACGGTTATTCTAGGTTCTATTAGCGGTATATCTGGTAATTACAACAGCGGATCGAGAATTCTTGGTTCTATGGAGGGGATCAAGATATCTCCGAATCAGAGGAGAAAGAAAATTAGGAAAGGGGATCTGAAAAATTAGATGTGGTGGAGAATGTAGGGGGATAATACATCGAGCTTTTGATTATCTCCTCAGGAAATCAGGAGTATCGGATCTATTAATCCTCTACATAAGATATCACAATTTCTCACTATACGTGAGTGATATTGAATGGAGTTGGGGGAATAATGAGGTCGAGAGACAGAGGAGGATCTGGTGGGATTCACACACCTGTTCTAGGAAAGGTTCAAGGGGCATAGGCAGGTCCCCTTCTCTGGTCAAGATTGGACAATATTCGGCACTGGATCTATATGAGCGCAAGTATTTTTCGGTATTGAGATTTCTTTTCCTTGTTGGAGTTTGGGTTAGTGAGGTTCAGATACGGCAGCGATTGATTTTTCCAGATTATTGCTGGCTGATCTACGTAATCAAAGCACAGAATCAGAATCGATTTCAAGCGGGATTGATTTGGAAGGATTTTTGGGAGAAATATCGGAAGTTCTGTGCTAATGGGTTGATTCGGAAGCATCTTTTAAACAGATTATGCAATATTAAAAGAGATTCACTCTTAAATGGATATCGTCAGAATTTACGAGCAGAGGGAGATATAAAGGGACAAGAGAGGATTGATTTCCACACCAACTCAATTTCTCTCATAAGTTACTTCTTCTCGTTTTCTGTTTTGTTCTCAAAAGCAAGAAAAATGTCTCAGAGTGGCTTGATCAAACACGATGGTACGGGGAAGAAAGTTGAGATCTCAATGAAGCGGTTGAAAGTTACGGTGCCTCATTTTGACAATTCAAGTCTCATTGAAGCATACTCAAAAACTCTGATTAGGCGGTGTATGAATCCTCATATGCAGGATATGAAAGCATTACTTTACATGCTCCCAAGGATCTGGAAGGTTGAAGATCGGGTGGCAGGTGCAGACCTGGGATTGGGGCGTTTCCAGTTTGACTTTGATCCGGAGGAGGACATAATGGAGGTACTGAAAATGGAGCCTTTCCATTTTGACTATTGGATGCTCTCATTGGTGCGATGGGCACCTGCGGTCAACCCAACATATCCTTCGGCAATCATGTTCTGGGTACGTATCGTTGGTGTACTGCTGCACTTCTGGGCTGACGTAACCTTCGAAAGCATTGGAAAAGCTCTCGGGGATGTCAAAAAAGTCAATTTGGACGAAGGAAATGTACAGATTGATGGTCTATAACCCTTATGCTTTGAAACCACGGTGGAATATCAAGGAGGAGTGGAAACAACGGTCTACCTGCGATATGAGAGGCTGTTCGGTTTTTACAAATTTTGTCACAGCCTCTGCCATGATCAGCAAAGGTTTCCAAGCAGACCTGACTCTACAGAGAGGAAAGTGAAGGAGGATTACAATGACGAGCATCGAAACGGTCAAGGAGCTGCATCGTATAAAGCTGCGACGGTCCATGGCAATGTGGGGAACAAATAAATGGTGAAGGTGTCTCTAGACTTAATAGACCAAATTTATGAGGAGGACACACGACAATACAGAAGCCGAGGCGGCAAAAAAAACGGTGAAGGTGTCTCTAGACTTAATAGACCTGTTGGTTATCTTCCACCAAAGGAGATGAACCAGAGGGGTTCAGCTACATCACCAGTAGCAAGAAAATCTGGGCATCAAGAAGTGAGTGCAAAGCTATCGGTTACTGAGGAAATTATGGTGAAAACAACCCATGGTGAAGCAGATATGGTTCAGCACGTGGTGGAGAATTTGAAGGAAGATGGGGGAAAAGGAAAGCAGCAAGAGATTGAGGTCATGAAGAAGGTTGGAATGGTGGAAAAATCTGTGCGAAGGGGCATATCCTTTCAAGGTGATGGTATGATTGCTCATGAATCTCTTGTCACCAATATAGAGAAAAATGAGGAATTAATTCTGCAGGATATTGGGAATAACATCTCAATGACTGATGAAGAGATAGTAACGGTGGAAAAAGATAAGGTGGAGGAAGGTTTGATTCAGGTTCACGATGAGGAAAAATCACAAGACGAACAAATGCAAAAAATGAACCCAGAATTTGACATAGGGGAATTGTTGCTGACTTTGAAAGACGTGTATGAATATTTGAACCAGGAGGAAGGTGAGATTCTCAAGAGCACAGAAGTGATGGGTACGGGAGTAATAGAGGATTTATCTCATACGGATGTTATGGCTGTTGAAACTTCGGAGATGGTAAAGGAGACTGAGCCCGTGAAAAACAGCAAACCAGCGACAAAGACGAAACAACCCAAGGTGAGGCCACAATATCATGGCGCATTGTCAAAGAAAAGGATGATTCAGAATCTAGTATCCCCTCGGAAGAAACAAGTCACCAAGATAACCACTTGGGAAAATGACGGGTCAGCGTCAGGTGCTCCAAAGGGACCATCAATCTCGACGGGAGAGCATCAATCATCAAGCACTGGTTAGATAGATGAGGATTCTAAGTTGGAATTGTCGAGGACTCGGGAATCGTTGGACAATAAGCTATCTTCAGGAGGTGTGGAAGAAACATAAGCCAGAGTTTCTGTATCTTTCGAAAGCCAAAGAAGATTTTTCTTTTTTACAAAAATTTCAGTTTCATTTCGATTATAATAAGTTGTACAAGGTTGAACCGTGCAGTGCAAGTGGTGGACTTGCCTTATTTTATAATAATTCCTTTGATGTTACAATTTTATTTTCAAATAATCGAATTATTGAGTATTGAAGCGACTATTCTCGGAAAAAAAGTGTACCTCTCGTTTATTTATGGGGATCCAGTGACAAAAAATCGGGATCAAGTCTGGGAAAGATTAACACGTATGAGTCTTACATGGTCGGATCCTTGGTTCATTATTAGAGATCTAAACGAAATAATGGGTAATAATGAAAAACAAGGAGGCCCGTTAAGACATGCCTCTACCTTTGTGTCTTTTAATTTAATGATAAGGGACTGTGGTTTTTTGGAATTTCCATGTTTAGGAAATACAATGTCTCGGAGGGATCGGGCTCTAGCGAATGAAGATTGGCATGAGGTTTTCTCACACTCCTTTGTTGAGTATCTGGCAATGATTGGATCAGATCATAGGCCACTTGTCGCTACAATTGAAGATAAAATGACACGGAAAAAATCACAATTTCGGTTTGATAAGCGGTGGCTAGAAAAAGACGGTTTAATGGAATCTATCTCCAAAAGATGGGACTTCAATCCTGGCGATGGGGGAATGAAGTTCATGGACAAAGTACGGAATTGCAGAAGAGAAATATCCAAATGGAGGAAAATCCTTAAGCCATATGAGCAGGAAAGAATTAATGAGTTAAAAAATACACTAGAAGACATCCAGAGTGATGATACAAGGACAGAGGAGGAATTGATGGAGGTCACAAAAAAGTTGAACGAAGCTTATAGGGATGAAGAATTATATTGGCAACAAAAAAATCACTCTCATTGGGCCAAGGCGGGAGATAAAAATACAAAATTTTATCACGCACTGGTCAAACAAAGAAGAGCACGGAATCGAATTATTGGCTTGAATGATGCGGTAGGAACATGGGTTACTTCAGAAAAAGAGATTGAGCAGGTGGCCGTCAATTATTTTGATGAGTTATTCACCTCGACTTCCCCAACAGAATTTGATGAGGCATTGGGAAATATTAAACCATCAATATCGGACACAAATAATGCAATGCTCACGGCTATGGCATCCGAGGAGGAAATAAGAAGAGCACTATTCATGATGCATCTGGAGAAAGCCCCGGGATCCGACGGAATGACAGCACTCTTCTACCAACGCTCATGGCAAATCATTAAGGCGGATCTTGTACGCTTAGTTAACGGTTTCTTGGAGACGGGGGCTATTGACGAACGATTAAATATGACAAATATTTGTTTAGTTCCAAAAACGGAAAGGCGAACGAGAATGACAGAATTACGGCCTATTAGCCTGTGTAATGTAGGTTATAAGATCATATCTAAAGTACTATGTCAAAGACTTAAAAGGTTATTACCGGACCTGATCTCGGAAACACAATCAGCTTTTGTGGCAGGACGGCTGATTTCAGATAATATTCTAATACCACAAGAGATGTTTTATGGCCTGCGGACTAATAAATCATGCAAAAATAAATATATGGTGATAAAGACGGACATGAGCAAAGCCTATGATCGAGTGGAATGGGCTTTTATTGAAGATCTCTTGAAACAATTTGGTTTTGCGGAGAAATGGATAACATGGATAATGCGATGCATCACCTCGGTAAAATATAAAGTTCTATTAAACGGACAACCAAATGGACAAATAATCTCAGAGAGGGGACTCTATCAAGGGGATCCTTTATCTCCATATTTATTTATACTAAGTACGGAAGTTTTAATTTCAAATATAAAGAAAGCTGAAGAGGAAAAATTATTGACCGGCCTAAAGATTGCACGAGCAAGTCCATCGGTCTGACATCTACTTTTTGCAGATGACAGCTTATTTTTTTTGCAAAGAAAATAAAGATGAATGCCACAAGATTCTGGCTATACTGAAACAGTATGAAAGGGTTTCGGGACAGCAAATTAATTTTGATAAATCTTCAGTTCAATTTGGCCATTTGGTCTCGGAGGAATTAGAAGTGATATGAAACATATTTTAGGAATATCTTGTGATGGAGGGACGGGATCCTATCTGGGTATCCCGGAAAGCCTAGATGGAGCCAAAACAAAAACTTTAATTTTGTAGCAGAAAAACAACATGATCGGATCAATAGCTGGACATCACGATCAATAGATCCACGAGTTATACTAAAAATAGCGGAAACAGAAGCGATATTATGGGAGGAGGCTCAAAGCTCCGAATAGGATTCAACACAAATAGATCTTTGCAATTCTACAAACTTTCAAATACCTATAGTCTATGAAGGCTGGTGGTGTTATACTGATGGATCGTGGAAAGATACGGAGTCAGTAACGGGTCTAGGATGGTTCTATTTTAAGGAAGGTGTCACAGAAACAATAATAGGAGCACAAAATGTAAGACGAAGTCTTACGTCTCTGCACGAAGAAATGGAAGCCCTTATATGGGCTATGCATTGTATGCTGGATATCAAAAGATGGAAGTCGCTTTTGCTACGAACTGTTCAGAGTTGGTGAAGATGGTGTCTACATCCAAAGAATGCCAGCTTTTGCTCTACACTTGGAGGAGATAATGAAGATGAAAGACAGATTCAGCTTCTTTCTTATATCACATATCCCACGCGCAAAGAACTCGAAGGCGGATAACCTAGCAAGGAGTGCTCGGATCCACCCTCAAGATGTTATGTAGTACCACCGATTTGGTTAACCCAACCGTTCTAGGCACTGAGGCTGATGACCAAAAAAAAAACCATGTAAATACAATGATCTATCAAAGTGAATTCATCATCTTTCATGGTATCAGAGCTTTATCGCTCCTGAACCTATTCTCTTCTCTTATTCTCTTCTCTTCTCTTCACTCATCTTTCGTTTCCTTTTCTTCTTCCCTTCAATGGCTGCTCCACCCGCAACAATTGAACAAGCATTTGGTGTCACCAACATCAAATCCAACATACCTATCAATTTCTCGATTGTTACGAAGAGTTTTCACCACTATTTCAATCAAATCTTCAAAACCTCTTTTATGTGCCAAACAATTCTGAAATCCCTGAAACTACTTTACAGCTTGTCTACTTGCCAATTGTTCAGACAACTTTGTCACACAATGACAACAAGGAGTAAAGCTGGTATCCAAAAACCAAAACAAGTCCTTTCTCTTCTCACCGCCACAAAAGCACCCCTTTTCAAAAATTTACCTTGAAGCTCGTTGTGATCCAAATTGGAATCCAGCGATGACTAATGAACATGGTGCTATGATTAAAACTAAGACTTGGAATTTGGTCTCAAGACCTCGATGGGTTTTGTGAGATTTTTGTGGCTGTTTAAACACAAATATAATACAGAGGGGGTTCTTATACGTCATAAGTTAAGGTTGGTTGCTAATGGAATATCACATGAAACTGGAGTTTATTTCACAAAAAATTTCACCCCCATCATCAAATCCGCAACAATCCGTATGGTTAAGAATATTGGTACTGGCTGATACATCAACTGGATGTTCAAAATGTGTTTCTTCACGGTGATTTAAAAAAGAAAGGTATACATGCATCAGCCTCTTGGGTTACAAGCAGTTTCCAAATCATGTTTGTAAACTTCAAAAAGCAAGATATGGTTTAAAACAAGCACCTAGGGATTGGAACTCCAGAATTGCTAAGTTCATCACTACTCTAGGCTTTGTCACAAGCAAGGCTGATGCCTCTTTATTTGTTTACAGAAAAGGTGAAGATCTTTCTTACATATTGCTTTACATGGATGATATTATTTTAATGGCATCATCACAAAGCCTTTTACAATACATTATTGTTTCTCTAAAGATAAAGTTTCCAATTTCTGACATGGGAAAATTACATCATTTTAT